TTGAACAGCCAGGTGACAGTTATGATGAGCTGGAACAGCAGAGATAAAATGAATATAGAAGACTGGTACATTCAAAAAGAGATTGATAAGGAATGTGAGCGGAATACTAGGTTTATAATTCTGACACAAGTACCAGACACATCTTCATTTTAACAGTATTTACAGGTAATGAGCTCAGATGCTTACCTGAGCGTATTATCACTTACGTAAGAGACTTTGATGTGATGTAAATGCTTACATAATAAGTCCATACCCCCTATAATGCTACACTTTCTCCTGGGTTCAATTCCTGCTCTTACCATGGGTTCAGTCCCCACACTCTGGGACAATCCCCACACTCTGGGTCAATCCCCACACTCTGGGCCAATCCCCACACTCTGGGTCAATCCCCACACTCTGGGTCAATCCCCACACTCTGGGTCAATCCCCACACTTTCCAGTTTGGTTCCATCCCAACAACTGATGTTCACTTCATGTAGCAAGGGGGGTTGTTGAGGTACAAGTTAGTGTGCTACCATGATGTATCACCTCAGTAGAACCATGACCACTACTGCCCAACAACCATGGCCACCACAAGCGTCTTTAGCCTAGTTTTTTAAGGCATCACTCTAGTATGTGTCTCAGCATTGCTGAGGTTGTGGGTTCGAGTCCCACCAGACACATCTTCATTTTAACAGTCTTTACAAAGTAAACTTCCTTTTCCAATATTGCAGGTGGGTTAAGACAGGGTCCTGGTTTAGTTTAAGTCTATATTTACAATTATTTAATCAATTTAAACCCCTGTATTGAATCAATTTGGTTGCTTCCTGTTGTTTGATAATCCAGAATCTCTGTTGTATCACATGCATGGTTTTTTGGGATTTATAAAAATGCATGTGACATAAGAAATCCAGAGATTTCAGTTACTCAACTCTTTCCAACTCTCTTATGATTTCAGTTCTTCAGGTCCCAACAAAAAAAAAATCCAATTTAAATTGGGTTTTTCCATCAGGCTTGTTTTCTATATTTATTTTATAATTACCATATTTTTTCTTGTTCTCTTTCCTATTGATTCATTTTCAGATCCAATTAATAATAATTTATCTGTCATCCTTTTTTTTATTTTGTATTTATGAGATTTGTTCAGTTCTTATATTAGGGGGTATCAAATAGAACAAATCCACAATCAGAAACCAGTCAATAGTGGGTATCAAATATGATCAAATCTACCATTACTCAATTGACGGGGTTTCAAAAATCCACCCTTTTTAAAATATGTTCTTCACCAATAACCTCTTAGGACCCATTAATGAAGGAATTCATTTTTTAATAATGACTGGTGTTTCTAATTGTGTATTTCTTAAGCCAGTCCTAAGAGGTGATTGTTCAAATGTTTTAAAAATAGGGTGTATCAAATATGACCAAATTAATGATTATCTAATCAACGGGTTGCAACAAATCCACACTTTCAAAAACTGTTGATAAAATTTTCAAATACATATTTATTTTCTCCAATATGTATGAAGTATAACCGTTAAAACCACATCTTATTGGCTGAAAACCCTGGGATTCCCACATATCTCAGCCTCAGGTTTAAATAACATTCCACAATTCAACTACATGACCTCCCCCATCCACAATTTAACCATATCCACTCTTCCCTTCTTTTTTTAATCACTTCAACAATTAAATCCTATCCCCTCCTCCCTTCATTTTTCAATCACTTCTTTTTGAACTAGGTATGCAACTTATCAATTTCATCCCAAGACACTACTAAACCCATATTACTCATTGCCTTTTCCAGAATCATGACTCCAAAAAATAAATTCAATCAAAAAAAATCTACATCCAAGAAAGCTACCCCCATTCCCAAGAAATCAACCCCTAAAACCACAAAACCAAATACTAAGAAGCCAAAGAAAGTCCAAGAAAAACAGAAGTAAACATTTATCTGAAGATGATGCTGCTGATAAAACAGCAGGTGACTTGAAGAAAGACAACAACCTGGTAATCATTGAACGGCTCAAGATCTATAGGAATTAAAATAGCTCCTTTGGAACTGGGAAGGCTCCTGCTGTTGGTTGTCCAGCCAAAGTTAAAATCAATGGCTTTGAGATGATGGCTATCAATCTCCAAAATAAATTCCCCTCAAAGATCAACCTAACTGTCACGTGTCAAACATCTGGGCTCAGATTTGAACCAAATGCTGCTCAAAAGCACGCGCTATTTGACCAAAAATCTACTTATCCATTTCGACACGAGAAACTCATACAATGAAAGCTTGAAATTTGTCAAATCACATTCAAACCTGTTTTTCAAATTTTGACTTTCACGCGAAGGAACTTCAAAGTTTACTCAGCTAAAATCAGCTTGGTAACTCCTTCCTTTTTTGGCTAGCGCGGCCATAACTCATTCTGCCTGTGCTCAGCAATTAGTCTTTGACACAAACCCAATCCGTCAAAGCATCTTTAATC